AGCAAACCCGAAATGAAACGAACGCAGTTGCAAAGCTGCGGCCTGCCTTGTCAAACATGACCAGGTTCGCAAGTTTTTCCTTGACCTACGGCTAGCGAGATCAACTGAACTGAGGGACATTTACACATGAAGATTGCAATTTATGGACTCTTTGTCGTCTGCAGTTGCACTGATCTAAATATAGTATTATCAATTACGTCCCTGCGTCGAGCTCTGATCAGAGCTCTGAAACTCACAAAAGGACTGCGCACAGAAGGCAGCGTGAACACGCTCGAACTTTTCCTTCCATGCGACGTGGGTAGGTTGGAAGGTTGATCACAAGGCTATGCCATCAGATCTGATGGTCTCCTGAAATTAAATCAAATTGAAAATCAAAAAGAAATCAGCCCGCCCACAGACGGTCTATGGCCACAGAGGTATACAGAGAACTACACTCTGATCAGACTATCATCCTGTATCAAGATCATAGATCTCAGTGTTTGCAAACGTCAGATCAAAGACGTTCAAACCAAATAAACATATTGCATCCGATCGCGGTTGATCTCAACCGCAAGCATCACAGCTGAACAGCTCAGCATGTCCCGAACATGTCTGTTCAAAATGCCGTTTGTCAAGAGACTACCGCCTGCAGATCGTGGCGGCGGACGGTACCACTCAACAAAAGGCAGACTGAATAGGCTGCTGGATCATCCATCGAAGGAAAGCAACTCGCATCTTCGGTGGAGCCATGCGCGAGCAAGTGCGAGCGCTGACGAAGAACCTAAATTGGTAAGCAGGGGGATTGTGGAGGTTTACGACACCACCCCCCTTCAAAGCCCGGGATCTGGGCCTCAAAGGGGAGTGGTGGGTGGGCTCAAAATCAGAGCTCACAACTTGAGCCAAAATGGCATGAACATGCCATTGGCTTTTCATTCCTCAATGTGGCTGATCAGCCCTTCACATTAAATAAAGATCAAACAACTGAGTTGCGAAGGAACAAACACTTGATCTACTTATCCCAGCCTAACCAACCGATGATAAGTTAACCAATTGCGTCCCTGTGTCGAGCTCTGATCAGAGCTCTGCAACTCACAAAAGGACTGCGCACAGAAGGCAGCGTGAACACGCTCGAACTTTTCCTTCCATGCGACGTGGGTAGGTTGGGAGGTTGATCGCAAGGCCATGCCATCAGATCTGATGGCCTCCCTAAACTTGAATCAAATTGAGAATCAAAAAGAAATCACCCCACGCTGTTAGAGGTTAGGGAACTTAGCAACGACCGTCTTCCAGCCAAGCCAAGCTCCGATGTTCATCCGATCTCGCGAAGGAGGATCTGCCGGGTTAGCGTCTGTGGAAACCCGGTTGATGTAGGTTTTGACCTTGAGTTCCAGAGCCATCTTCAAAAGGTTCGGTTGGGCAACCAACTCACGCAGATCACCGTCGATGTGGCTGCCAGCCTTCATCCTGCTGGACGCTACTGGTCCATAGAGAATCCGCTGGGATCATACCTGTGGCTCACGCCGCCTGTGGCGCAGATCGCGTGGCTTTCCCAAGCAGAGCGCTTCGAGTTCGACATGCGCCGCTTGGGTCGGATCACTTGAATCCCCACAGCCATCCTGGCGACACTGACGCTCGGGGCACTCGCGTTAAGGCGCGGCGCGGCTCAGCGTCCTCACCGCCACATACCCCTGACGGGGATGGAAGTCGTGGACGGACGTCAGCAGTTCAGGACAAGAAGGGCTCAGGTCTACCCATCAGCTCTGCGCCAGGAATGGGAGCGCTCGGAGCGCTTCGGGACCCCAACGCCGATGCGCCATCTAGCTTGCGGGCCAGGCTGAAAGAAGAGCAAGGCGTCCCAAAATGAACATAGAACACAAAGCCCTCCTCGATGAGCATGAATAGGTGTTTGAGCACAGAGTCAGAGGTGATGTCGACGGAAAAAGGCACCTCATCGTTGCGCTCGATCTCAATTGGTGGGAGAACTGCAAAACCTGCCGCCCTCATGGCTTTCGTGAGCACGACCTTGCCAGCAAAAATTTCCCATAGCGACCGGGAGGTGGTCTTTTGAACGAACCCCAGAACGGCTCTGACATGTTCAGATCTGAGCCGCTCCCGAGCCGATCTTGCTGGATTGATTCTCTCAGCGATTGCCCACCGTAGGGTGGGCAGCTGCGCTTGAACCTGCACTTGAAGCTCATGGATGAGTTGTAGTAGTGACAGCGCTTGGGCCCTTTGTTGAGGGGGGAGACCGACAACCTTTGGGAGCCAGCCCACTTTTCTGTTCACTCCCACGCGAGCACATTCACACGGATTGTTCGAAACACGCCTACACTGAAAACAAAATCGCGGATCTCCGCTTGTTCTCCAGCCGTCTTTCTCCTCTTCAGATTTGAGGGAGCTGACCGTATTGCCGGCAGGCTCCGCCCGTGGTTTCTTGAACGAGGGGACTATCGGATCTTTGGCGCCACCATGCCGATCCGTGACCATACCCCAATCTCGCCCATGATCTTCGAGCGAGATTGGGAGATCAGGTTGAACAGGAGAGGTACCAACTCAATACGTCTAAGTACCGCGTCCCTGTCCTCCTGATCCCCCCCATTGCGCCCAGCATTTGCGCTATCTGATCATCAGCTCCCACTTCGGCGTCCAGCGCGAGCCAGAACTCGGATCGCCCGAGCCCCAGCCTGCACAGCGCTCGAGCGAACTCATCGTCAAAGATCGGCAGCTGAAGAAAGGCCACCATGGAGCGATCCATCGCGGAGTCAGATCTGATGATAAAAAAAATCTACGCAGTGAAAATGACATCCGGTTCTAGATTGCAAATTTGATCATTAAATGACTTCGCCGATCGGCTCGATCGCCAAAAGCGGCGCGTCGATCGACTGTGAATCATCCGGCCCACCCATCCACTCCCTCGCGATCGCGACGAATCTGACTCTCGCCGGAGCAGCGGCGACCAGGGATCTTGGTCTCCACCTCCTGCAGTGCGGTGTAACGGTGTACCATCGCTGCACGCTGTCGAGCTCGACTCCGATCGCATGGTCGTCGAACTTCACGATGGTTATGGGTTGAAAAGGATCAAGTAAAACATACAACACAAAACCGATCGACACGCACGAAAGGAGCCAAGGGGTTGCATGTGGGCGCAAAGATCATCGCCCTCATCCCTGGTTCCCTTCCCTCCCAGACCGGATCGTCCTGTCCGGTCTTCCGGCAAAAACCGAACGATGAGTGAGCCGAGGTTGGGATCTACCCGACTCTCTTCGCCCTGGCCTGCGGTTTCGGTTGACCACGCCCCACCTGCCGCCGTCGGGAGCTCAAGATTCTTCGGGGGCAGATCATCCACCTCCTCGATCGTGGCCGACATCTCATTAAAAATCTTCGGCCGGATCTGACTCGCGAAGAAGGCTGGGGTGACCTGCGCAGACGATCGGGCGTATCGCCTATCATTCCGCCCTTGATCACTGACACGAGCTTCATCTTCGATCTGTGGACCTACCGGGCGGGGCATTGAACGAGCGACTGGCCAATTCAAAATCCGACTGAGCCGACGTCGAAATGACTCTAGCTCATTGGCTCTACGACCCGCTCAGCTGCATGCTTCCATGCACCTTCGGTGATCAAAGGTGGTCCCAAAGGCGCCGCTGGGCCAGTCCCCTCACGCTGCATCCTGACCCAAAGCTTGGAAGTGGCAGCGATGTGGAAGTTGCCGTCACTGCCCATAGCGCCGTCATTGTACACCTTGACATCGGTGTACGATGCTGAGGTGTCTCTGAGCGTCGGCCATGAAAAGGGATGAAAATTAGCCGGATGGCTCAGAGCTGTGGCAGTATGCCTGTCCCACCCTGCATTTGGAGCTCCCGTCTCAGTGTCCAGCGCTATGATGATCACCGCCTTGACTCCGTCCAAGGTGTAATTCCCGAACAGGGAAAGGTGAAAACCAGCGTTCGGAGGCATGACCTGATCTCTCTCGGTCAACACGTTAATGGAACTGGCCGAGTTGGCCATAATTTCACGCGTCAACCAGCATTGGAACGGAGAAGCCACGCGAACGTCCCGATCATTCACCATAATGATCGAGTTCTCAGCCATCTCCTCCAACATTGTATTCGAGCCAGGTTTCACCTCGAACGGGCTGTGTGCGGCGTTTGCCCCGCCGGAGCCCCCTGCGAGCCCCAATTTCCACTGCCACGGTGTCCATGACCGCCACGGTGACCACCCCGGTAGCCAGACATGGCTCTGCACCCAGGCCCTTGGAGCGGCGAACGCCACAAGCGTTCAAAATCAGAGCTCACAACTTGAGCCAAAATGGCATGAACATGCCATTGGCTTTTCATTCTTCAATATGCCTGATCAGCCCTTCACATCAAATAAAGATCAAACAACTGTGAGTTGTGAAGGAACGAACAATTGATCTACTTATCCCAGCCTAACCAACCGATGATAAGTCAACATATATATAGAGAGAGAGAGAGACCACGGTACTGTGGGACCATGGGACCATGGGACCAAGGCCGTCCCGCATCTGGATCGAATCGAACCCAAAGAATGTTTATTCTTCCGAACCTGCCGCATCCACACCAGGCCTTGCCCTTGGCCCACTTCTTCTTGCGGGACTTGCCGCCAGCCATGGCCGCTTTCATCTTGGCCTCCTTGGACTTCTGCACCTTGGAATTACAAAAGGGATTACAATTAAGGCGTTACATGAGCATTCACTTCTTCATTCACTTTAGATGTGGTTCATGCTGTTGCAGTGGGCAATGTTATCGGAACAGTGCAGGTGGGACTGAGGCATTCGCAACTTTGTTCGCACCCATTGGAACGCCTATCAGTCTTACACCTCAAACAGCCGAGCCTGACTTTGCGGCCTTACACAGAACCTGTCGGTCCAAGAGACAAACTTTGACATGACTTCAAAGTGATGATTGGCTTCAAGGCCCACATTAGCATCAACTGCACATCAAAGGGGAAGGGTGTTGCACTGAAGCCACCAAGCAATACCCATCAAGACATATATTGAAGACCTTTCATGTAGATGGACAAAGCAAGCAAAAACAAGAAACTAAATAGGACATAAAGGAGAAAAGGCCCTTTTCTAAAACAACAATGGACTTCTGCGACCATTGGAACAACGCGGTAGTCCAACAGCACACTTTGGGCTGTGACTGGAACCTAGACTCCAAACGAACTACACTGGCTAACTAGACACATTGGTCAAGGCTAGCATTCTCTTCAAAGTACCTGCCGAGGGGATATTCATCCAAACGGCCTTTTGGGAGGGTAGTTTACTTGACCCCAGCGCTGCTGACATTGCATCAAAGAGAACCTGCGACAACCCCAAGCTCTGCTTACAGGGAAGCAATCTTGAAACTACAAAGATTATCACGCCTTTCCGCTAGGCATCTTCAATGGCCGCAAACGCGAGCGCCACCATTCGTGAACTGACCTTGGATGAGATCAGAGTGGCTTTCCTCTGTTGAACAACAAAGTGGAGACTTCTTGGCCCCCAACTCTTCCAGGGTATTGATACACCAAACTTGCTCGCACTACGTCTGAACACCCTTGCATTGACATGTCGCACTTTTCACATGTCTGGGGAAACAATGAGTTTTGCCCCGACTTGGTGCACTCACGCAAAACATGTGAGACAGGTGCCACATTCAGTGGTGGCACCGCTCCAGACAGCAAGAATGCCAGGTCCATGTGGAACTTTTCCTAGATCCGTCAAGACTTTGCCACAAAACTCCCAGTCCACATTTCTCACAGCAGCCATAGGCTGTTTGTTTTCATCTTGCCCTTCGTAAAGGCCTCCCCACAAATCAACCACTTTACATGCAAAGGAAGTCAACCTACTTGGAGCAAGGCAAGCATCCCGACAGCTACTGAACAAATCCTGTAAAGCTTGGCACGGCAACGGGAAGTTTAACTTACGGCAAGGCAAGACTTAGGAGCAAATTTTCCAACAAGTTTGGCATACGAGTACGGCCCAGGACGAGTGGTGCATATACAGCCGAACTGAATGATTTCTTAGCGACGAAAGCGTGCTACTGAAAAAGAAGAACTGCCAGTGGGAACCCGCCAGAACTGTCAAGTTGCCATCCAACCGGGACACCGGAGCGCCAAAGGCTCTCAAATTATACCCCGGCCCGGGCAAATACATGTGTCTGTGTATGTGTATATATGTATATATAAGTAGCACGGTGCTAACGCACTACGTGACACATACAAAAGTCAAACAAGAAGCAAAGACTCCAAAAAAGGGTGCCTGCTGCGCTGTCTCTCGTGAAAAGCACCGGCTGCACCAACCAAAGAAATCCACTTCGGCACGCGCCTTTTCACGACACGGGCCGCGGGGCGCAACTCGTACCACACATACCATTTCACCATCGTGGATCACACCACCTTACCAATCCGAATCTGGTTCGAACCTTTTGGTTCGGTGTACTCACATAACACAATACTATGTGTTCCCGAATGCGTAGCGAAGGGTTCTCATTTAACTCTGGGGGTTTGGGGGTAGAGCCTTGTTCGCGACTCGTTGTCTAAGCGACCGCAACCGTTGTCAACCATCCGCAGCCGTTGCCATTGAGGGAAGCTTTTGGAGAGGGCTTTGGGTGGAAGAGTGACGTGTCAGATTTGTGTGAAATCCGCCGGCTTGCCGGCGTGTCTTGTGGATGTGCTTGCACTTGTACTTGTCTTGTCTAGTACTAAAGTTGTTCATCGTTTAGATTGCTCCTCTCTGCGCGGATTTTTGCCTCGACTAAACGCCCCCTCCCCCTGTAATTTGTAGTGTTCTAGGGTCCCCCTAGACGTGCCTACGCTATACATGTGTAGCACCTGTTGTTCGTAGATACTTTGTATATACTCTTCAGTCAGCTTGACAGTATAATTCACATTGCTTTTGGCTCAAGACCACTAGAGCCCGTACTTGCACCGCGCGCCATAGAAAAGTGTGCTCTCTGCTGTTCGCACAGACACTCCGCTATCGGTTCTACTGGGCTTTACTTGGTGTTATCGGTCAGGTCCAGTGTGCTTCACTGCCACTTTGGAGAACTTACCCCTCAAAGTGGTAGCGGAGCTTGTGTCTCCTGCTTCGCCATGCTCAAGTTTGCTTCGCGCAGGTTTGTCCGACTTTACGGACAGGAGACAACCAAGTAGCCCACCTGTCTGAAGAGTAGCAACCATGGTCCAGATCTTTAACATAGATACGGACAACGAATCAGAATATAGTCATCAGGAAGAGTCGGAACCAGAGGAAGCTTACGCTGCACAAGGTTCGAGGTATCGTTCCCAGCAGTCCAGATCCTCAGGTTCGACATTCCGGACTCATGAAACACAACCAGCACCAGGTGTCAAAACGACGCCAAAGATTCCCCCCGTCCTTTGGTGGACAGTCATCTGGGTTCGAGTTTGAAGATTTGATCGATGACTGGGTAATAGTAAACATTACCACACTTTCCACAGCGAAGCTCGGTCCCTCATTAAAGAATGCATTGACCGGGCAAAGTATTACAAGAAAACGCTTGACAATGAGCAGCTTCGTAACGAGAGAAACGGCGTTACTTATTTCAAACAAGCGTTACGTCCATGTTTTTTTCTGGCGTTTCATGGAGGTCTTTAGGACCTGGCGCGGAAACGGTGAATTTGTCAGTTAAATCGCTCGTTTTGAAGTCGCAAGCAAGAAAGTCATGGAAGCCTGGATGGGCTTATTAGATCTTTCAGCTGTTCCACAGCCAGATGATTTCAACTTTACTGAAATCCTCTCGCAACAGCAATACCTGCTACTTCAAGGACTTCAAGATCCAAACGACAATGAACGAAGAGAAAACGCAGACAGAATTCGTACTGAACACATTGATGCCATGAAACAAGCACATCGTGAAACTTTCCATTGTCTGACAATTTGATGTCGCTTATTTTCCTAGCTCAGTCCGACTTGAATGAGCAACAAAGAGAAAGGTGTGTAGCCAGCATGTCCTTACGAGCATGAACAACTACAAGTACTTAGCAGTCAAAGGCTTATTCCTTGATCTCTTTTGCGGAACCGCCACAGGAACTGGATCAGGAAACAGGCGAAGAAGGATTTGTGAGTTTGTTCTCACAATCTCATTTTTTGGTGTTAGCAGCTAAAGGACCCGTAGAAGAATCCATGGAAGAAGGTTTAGAAGACCATCCAAAGGCGGCAAAGGTAAAGGCCGCGGAAAAGGCAGACGACCCGGCTTCACAAGCCGTAGGGGCAAAGGCGCAAGGGCGCACTATGCAGAGTATGCTGACAACTCCGGCTTCTATGGAAAAGGCAAGAAAGGAAAGAAATGTGGAAAGAAATGTTTTAAAGGGGTGTAGAAGGCAAGATCTTCATAGGCCTTCTCTGGTGTGGATTCCTGAAAGGTTTGGCTTTACCATGAACAGGTAGACTGACCTCCATGGTTCGCTTGTGCGCCGAATGGCCTTTCCTCTCATCACTCAATCTCCAGAAACCACCAAACGTAGGTCTTCTTCATTCGTCTTGCCAACCCAAATACCTGGTAACCATTGCGGGCCCTGCTTTACTCCTGGTTGTCGTTGGAGTAGCATCACATACTCACCAAAGCACACAACCTTTCCAGCATATCGTCTGCCAGTTGCCAACTCAAATGGAGTAGCTTGCAACGCTCGATGTGAAGCGAATCTGTTGATCAACCACGCCGCGTGCAAGTAGACCCATGACCACAACGGGTGACTGCCTTCCAAAGAAATCAAGCACTTGTCTTCGGCCATCTTCATCAAACACGAAGCCTGTTTCCGCAAAGTTTGAATGGCTCTTTCAACTTGGCTTGTTTGTCCCTTCTTTTGGGAATTCGTCACCGTTGTCTGCAGTCCCAAACTGTGCCTAATCGTCTGGATGTAGGTCAAGAGGTTCCTCATAGTGGGTTCATTGTCGCCGGTGATCTCCACATTGCCATACTGATTGAGCATGAGAGTGAACCTTACAACATGCTCAGCTTGACCTCTGAGGTCAGCACCTTTGCCTTCCACGGGCACTGCAAGAAGCATGCGTGTCTCAGCATCAACACCCGCTAGGATCGTGGTGAGGTCTGCTTTGCTGTTTCCCCCTGACCGGCCATAGGCATAGTCAAGCTGCACTGAAGAGATATTTCTTCCCTCAGCAGATTGGTCTAGGACTCGTTGATGGTCATCTCTGCCTTTTGTAGCAACGCAAAAATCACACCAATCTCTGTATGGAAGATGGGTCAACTCGTGAAGCTCCCTTTCCTCTTTGCCTGGTTGTCGAGGAATGTTCACCTGAACTAATCCTTTCTGTCTGGCTTCTTCTTGGTAGAGCTTGTTGGCGGCCAAGACCAACTCTTCATACTCTAGTTGTTGCACCTTCTGATTCAAGCGGTTCCAAAGCGCCTTCTTTGAGCCACCTTTGTTCAGTCCCAAGAAGTCGGCTGCACCTTTGAGCAATGCTAAGGAACTGTTGGCATTCAACTCCAGTCCATTAACCACCAAACTTTCTTTGTTCTCTAGGACTGGGATGGGACCGTCCCAACTGACACCTGCATCTTGTTGTTCCACCTCCTCTGTAGTCTGCTCATGCTCAGGTTGCAGTTCATAGGGAACCATGAAATCATCACTCTCCACATTGACACCGCCTGAAGTAGCTGTGGTCTCACCAACCACCGTGCCGAAGAACTTGATGGGCTCTTTGGTCTTGTGCAAAACTGAGTTTCTTCTCCATTGCACTCTGGAATCTCTCCTTCTGGATCCTCAAGTGTAAAGTATCGACAGCAGTGTTCAACCAGCTCCCAAGAGTCATCAAGCTTTCGACTGAGAGTAGACCTCATGGGCCACCAGTGGGTATTCCACATGAGCTGGGCATTCTTGAAGCACTTGCTGGCGTAATTGAACTTGAAAGGATTGCCATCAGGCCCCGTCTTCCAAGCTCTCAAGCCATAGCTCTCCCAGAAGAAGTCATGAAGCTTCATCACCGTCTGAACTACCAAGACATCATTGTCATCCCGGTTCACCACCTCAGGAAGTCCTCCTTGCAGCTCATCTGGCACCTGTTGCACACGGTTGATGGTCCCCAGCAAAGCCAAAGAGTTCTTGCGGAAGTACAAGGGAACTGTGCATTGAGCGTCTGGCGCCTGCAACTGCACTCCGGTTTCTGTGTTCCCAGGACAAAGACGCCATCCTTTCTGCAAAAGTTGCCCCATGCTCACCAAGGGCGTTTGGACTGAGGCCACAATGAAGTCGTCCTCAATGATGACTGAGCCTTCAGCTGACTCGCATTCGATCTGCGCCAGCTTTCTGCCATATGTGGCCAATTGGGAACCCTGTGCATCCTCCAGCACTGCTTTGCCAAGTTTCTGCGAGGTTCCTCTGTCTGCCGTCGACCGAGGCAAAAGGCTTATGTCGGCCCCAGAGTCCAGCACAATCAACATCTTCTCTTCATTGCTTGTGACCATGTTCACATGAAACACTGTCGGCTTTGCATGGTCTTGTTCTTCCATCACGTAGCGTCGTGTGGGTAAACCAAGGTACCAACGCCAGGTTTTGTCTGACAAACATGCAGCTTTTTGCTCCTCATCTGAACCATCATCCAGTGCAAATGACACAACATTGACTTTGTAGTTGTCATCATAGATCCAACTGTCACCTCCTTCGCTTTGCAGGTCATACAACACAGGAGTGGAGGTTTCCTCTCGGGGAGTAGCCACATGGTAAAGTCGAACTTGTCGAACCTGTTTACTGGCTGTTGTTGAGGTCGTGGAGGAACTGCCAACTCCACGAAGCTTGCCACTTGCTGAACTAGCAATTTCGCTTTCAGAGACACCAGTATTGCTTCCTGTTGGCATGGACTGTGTCACAGCATTGGCTCTATTTGGACATTCATTTCCCCAATGACCTTGTTGTCCACAAATGCGACAAGTGTTGGGGTTGTTGCCACCTTTGCCCTTGTCTGAACCATGGAACTTTCCTTTGCCCTTCTTTCCTTTCTTACCTCCTTCTGGAACTTGCCACCAGTCTTTCCGCCACCGTAAGGAAAAGGAATCCAACCACCTTTCTTGCTCTTGCCTTTCTTTCCTCCTCCTTTGTACTTGCCCTTGCCGACTTGGTTCACGCTGTCAACCTCCATAGGCGCAGGTCCATTGTTGGAATCGAGGGTGTTCTGGACCAGCTTGAGGTACGTGTCACCTGACCAGACTCTTGAGTTCTTGTCCATCAAGATCAGCTTTTCTTTCAGCGTGTTGTAGTCCACCGAGTCGTCCAGGGTCAGCTCTAAATGCCTGCGAACATTCTGGTCCACGCATCTCAACCGTGGACACCACCAAGTCATCAGGCATTGCATGGCCTGAAGCAACCCTGTACTGATCCAAGAGCAAGTCCAGCTGCAGCAAGTTCTCCATCATGCTCTTTCCGGGTCTGAACTGTGGCAAACCCATGATGGCCTGACCAATGGCCATCGTACGAGGGCGCGCTCGAGGAAGGTACAAATTGCGCAGCTGTTGCCACACTCTGAAACCATTGCGGTCTGTGGAAGCTGCCTTCACAAATTGGGCTGCTGGACCCTTCACGTATGCCAAAATGGAAAAAATTTTTAACCAAGCTCAACCACTTCATCGGATGCAAACTCTGCCAAGGTGCAAGGCTCATCCAACTCTTCAACCTGTTTCAAGAGTTCCACATACCTATGGTCTCCATAGGTCTGCCAGTTCTTGAAGTTGTCGGACCAACTGACAAACTTAAGTGGATCATCCACTTCGAAAGCTTCAGGTGCCTTCAACACTTTACTTGCCTCACTGAAGCTACCATGGCTGTCCTTCTTGTTCAGCTTTTCTGCCACCAAAGCTGAAGACTGTGCAGCGTTCATCGTGGCCTCTGTCATCTGTAGAAGATGATTGAACATCCTCTGAGCCTGCTCACCATCCATCGCTTGGCCGGAAGTCCATAAGGACAAAAAGATTAAACTTCTCATCTTCATTCTGAATTCAAAACGATGCCGAAGGCCGCCATTCCACCTTCGTGCTTTGCTCAAGTGGCCCCTGGGCTCAGGATGCCTTCTCACCAAGGTCCTCGATCTTTGTTGGGACCGTCGCATCATCTCAGCTCCTAGCACCAGGAAGAGGCTCAAGAACATGTAAACCTCCCATCCAAAGTTTTCCATCATCACTTGCAGGATCATTGAATGTCGCTCAAGGTCAAAAACCAAGGCACCGATGAAATTCTCTGCCACTTTGACATTCCTAAGAAAGTAGCTAGTGACCATTCCTGTGGACTTGTGTCGCATGAAGCCTTCACAGCTTTCATTTGTATGGTCCAAGCCCCAATCCTGGACCGTCTTCGTGTTGAAGTCCTCAAAGCATAAAAAGTCGGAGCGCCAATCTTCGACTTTGGAGGTCTCGCCTCCATCCATGGGTTCAGCCTTCAGCTGACCAGCGGTCAAAGGACCTTCAACAGCAGACATCCCGGTGGTTCCAATCCACCTCATAGAGCTCATCTCAAAGTCCACCGTGCTGTTATGGCCACCATCAAGGCCATCATTCGCAGGGCGCCAATCCCCGCTCACCCTCTCCTTCTTCGCCATGTCCTGCTCGTTCTCCATGTCCTTGTAGGGGAAGTTCATCACATTCACCTCCTCGTTCGTGAAGTCGTCCGTGAGCTCAACACCTCCGCCTATCTTCAACAGGAGCAGCACCAGGATGAAAGTCGCGGAGCGGCTGGAGCCGAGACTTTGCTCGGCTCCGCTACCGTGACAAAACAACGCCGCGGACCTTTTCTCTGCGAAAGGTCGCTTTGGGCCACTGTCGAGCGAAAGCGGAGTTCATGAACTTGAGGCCAAGGGGGGGTGCGAAAGCTAGCGCTCCAGAATGGGAAAGTGGAGGGCAGCGAGGTAGGAAAAAACACGGCGCTCTTTTTGGAGGCAGGGGTGAAGAGTCCTTTATATGTGGCTCTTTGCCCGGATCCTCCTGCGAGAGAGGGAGGGAGGGAGGGAGGGAGGGAGGGAGGGAAGGAGGGAGGGAGGGAGGGAGGGAGGGAGGGCTTTGACCTGAAAAATCTGGGGTTAGGATTTGCACCCGGTCGAAAGAAACCTTGCTATCGCAAGAGTAACTCCAGCTAGCTTCGCTAGCTTTCGTGACATCTAGCTATGCGCATGGTGTAGAAATCTCTCCGACTGCGCAAAGGGGTCTTTTGATCCGACGCTAAGATTGCATGCTCCGCCGGTCCACCAACATTGACCAAAAATTTCACGAAGATATCCCCCTGCACATCAATCGTTGTTTGTGCTGCTCGACGCCCTTGCGCAACACTTGAATTTCGCCATTTGTTCACCCCAATTTTGGCCGAAAGCTTCTGCGCCGACACCTGTCGTTGTCAAGTGGCGGGAATCTGCGCCGCCCTAAGACGCTCCAAGAGTGGTAAAGCCAATTCTTGCCTTCGGCAACGGCAAAGTGTTACAAGGGATTTGGTATGTTTGATCTCGAGAAACTACACGCCTATCAGACTAATGGCCTTTGTTCGTTCGTTTTGCATTTGACAGTTTTTGTCACGCACAGGACTCCAGGACTCGCCTGTGGCTCATTGAACTTCTCTTGTTCCAGAAGACCGCGCGTCAAAAACCAAACTCGAAAACTCGAACTTGCCTCGAATTTTGGCGCATTATCGCCTCGAAGAGCGCCTGCGCGAAGAAGAAGAAGAAGACGAAGAAGAAGAAGAAGAAGAACAGAACGAGATATCTACGCACAACAGCAACGATATACGGCCGCACAAGAATTTGACAGCAACCAAGTCCTTTTGGTTCCTATCTGGCGCTGCTGCGCAACAATTTCAGCCTCCAGGCAATCCAGGCTGAGGTGCCTGATTGAATCTTTCGTGCGGCAGAGATCATTTCCATGGATTGGTGCCAAATTGCAAACCAAAACAACCAAAGAAGCACACTGTCTATCGGTCACATTCGTACAAACAAAAGTTGCAGCACCTACATATACATATGAAGTCGATAATTGAGACTATGTATATTTGTTAATGTGTATATATTTCACGCGCTGTTTTGGCCGCACTTTGATCGGTTGCCCTCCGTGTTGGTGCTTCACCAAGCTATCACGACAGCTGTCGAAAGTCAAAACGGCACACGCTGCATGTCAACATCAAAGGCTGCCACAACAAAGAAGCTATGTACCACATCAATACAATGTATCAATGTAGCAACGAATCAACGTTACCAAGCCGGCTACCACTCTCAACACTCTGCTTCCTCATATTAATGGGGAGAGTGGCTTTGTAGAACACAGCTCAAGTGGGAGCCCATGAGAACAACTTGCTGGCGTGAACTGGCCAACAAGTTGAAGAGAAAAAGTTGGGCAGCAACCTCACGAATGATTCCAGCTGCCTTGCCGCAATGTCAGTGGCTTGAAGGTATTCGTGAGCGGCTCCGGTGCCACGTGGACCGCAGCAAGCTCAAGTAGGGAAAAGTCTGTCATCAAGCTCCAAGTGATTGAACACGCACCGATACAAGAACGGGTTATCGAGAGATCATCCACCCAACCACGTTCGCCAATGAATTCCGAATGAAAACATAGACATAGATGAACTGTCCCTAACTAACACTGTCCTCAAGGAGTCTCAAACCCCGGCAAGTCAAACTCAAGAAGCCTTGCAATGGAGCATGCTTCAAATCCACAGCACATTTCCTGCCAAGCTGCACCTACCCAGCAAAGGGCCGAAATGCGCCTTCCCGAAAAATGGCACACGCTGTAGGCCCGCAAAACCAAAGTGGGCGCCTCAACCGTTTCAAGCGCTTGTTTGCTTCAAAGACAATTGTGGAACTTTGGCTCACGCAGTCTCAAAAGCCTGCAAACATGTTGCTGTGCTCTTGATTTGCCAGAACACGGAAGGAACTCCTCGCGATTCGATTCAAATCTCCGAGCTGCTCCGGCCCTGCGCTGCTGACCCTACTGTCCACACACCAAGCAACCGACTGCCTGCGTGCATCTTTGAAAATGTTTCCAACAACTCTTGTAGATTCTGCGCTCAAGCCCAAACATAACTGAACTTGCTGGTCGCTCGCGCGACTTGAAAAAATGCCCAACGCCAAGAACAAAACGAACGCAGTCCGAATGGCAAAAAATCTGTTCTCTTGTTTTTGGGTCCCGGATTTTGAATCCAGTTGGGCGGGTTTCAAGAGTTCTGTGCACCACTCTGGGACGGCGCCAGACGCAGCTAGCTTGGCGAGGCCCTTGAATGTTTAGTTGCGCGAGAGGTCCCATAGCCTTCCCGACTCCGTCGCATTCAATGCGCAAGTGAAACGTGCAGGCCTCTCGCGGCGTATGTCTTGTTCCAGTTCCCAAAGCCTGCAAACAGTTGGACGCAGCCTCAGGCCAAGGTTACACCTTGAAGAACTCGATTAGCTTTGGAGACGGTGGATGAACTGCTTTCAGATTAGCAAGCATAATACTCCCTTTGCTCTGCGTGCCTGCAAAACTTTCGTGGGCCCCACATCGAGGCGTGGCGGCGTAGCAGCCCGACAAACGCCAGTCCTCACGTTGGTCTGTATTGCAGGAGCTCAAATACACAAACACTCGGGCTCTGCTTTGCGTTGTCTGGAAAGTATATCGCAAATGCGGGGGCGCATGAAGAGGCGGGCGTGAATCCAATACCCTTGAAACCGCTTGCGGACAACCAAGCCCTTGTGAACTGAAACTGAAATACTGAGGCACAGCATATCCATGACCTGGGCGCTGAAACTCTGCCTCTTGCAAGGGTTGTTGCGAGGGTTGTTGCATGCATTTCTCTCCGTCACGATAGGCCACGTGATTGGCTCTCTGTATTGCAAACTCTCCTCTGGCCGCGCACGCTGCTTCACGTTTCAAGAGGCTTACGCGGGGTTGCTGCGCTGTCTCCACTGCCAGAGCATCGCCCATTGCCAGCGTAGCATAGCTAAACACACATATCGCTTTCTCCATGGTGCTTTGAGAGATCAAGCCAGCTCAAACACGCCAGCTAAGCTGCCTGAAAGGGCACTCCAGTCAAGTTCTGCTTTGCCCGCTTGCTGCGCACCAGAAAGGCGTGGCAGAACCGCAACAACTGCTCATCCTGTGAAAGTTGTATCACGCCAATCAGACATCCTGGGGCAATCGCGGAAAGTGGCGGAAAGCTTCCTGAACTCACAACAGATTGTGAATGGCTCTGTAAAATTCTTCATCCTTTGGAACAGCAGCAATCCCAGCAGTCTCACGCGCTTGAACATCACCTCCGCCACATCTGGCGATTCCACCGCACTTGCACCAAGTGCTCGGAGGCCGGAAGCGTGCATCTTCTGGATTTTGGAAGGACGAAGGCAACACCAGAAAAAGATTGGGCGTTGTCAGCAGGGCTCTCACACCAGCTTCATTGGCACAGCCGAACCTGCCATTGGTTGCTCGCCCCCAAGAGACACGCAAAAGTCTGACACAAGGCTCTGATCTTTGCCTGCGAGACCTGGTTCTGTCCAAGGACTTAGTAGGTGCTGCTGCATGCTGCATGGCCAACAAAGAAGACACACTAGCTAGCCGCTCTGTGCCTTGCCATGGTCAATTCGGATCTGAGCTCATACACGTTCAACCTCCTCTGTACTGAGCAAACCTCCGTCCTAGGACTCCGAGACTGCAGGATGCTCTGGCTGGAGTGCCGCGGAGGCACGCCCGCCAGGATCATGCCGCAGAACTGTCGAAGCCTGGACGACGCCACTACAACAAAAATCCTGGGGCGCAAATGTAGCCAGAGCGACGCCTATGCCGCCACACTGCTGGCCTGGCCAAGACCATCTGACCTCCCGCAGGATGTCTGTGGCAAGGCCCCAGGACATGTGGAGTTCGAGCCAAATTGTCTTGACCGGCAAATTGCTCAATCAGCTGACATAGGAAGGCATATACTCTATATATATATATAAGGCTTCAAAAGTGTTTCCAATCTTGGAAGAGCTGGTTCATGCTAATTTAATCTATATAATCTTTGTGTTTCCATTGCAAGCGTGTTGCTGCTTGCTCCGGGATTTTGGTAATTCCCAGAGGCCACAAGCCTGTCAAGAAAATGACGTCACAGTAGGCAACGCGAATGCACGTCGATGCTTTCCTTGCGATAACTAAGTGCACCAAGAAACTTAAAAAAAAAACGAAAAGGGTTCAGTCACGCAAAAGATTGAAAATGCACCCACTGCCACAAGGAGTGAGAAGCAGTGCAGAACAACATACAAGAGTGTATGGTTCGCCTCTTCTACCAGCTTCACGGCTTCAGCTAAACAACCATATTTCACCAGACCAGATATCAAGACCTCCCGAGAATAAGCAAGCAAACATTCTACCTGTCAGTAGTCATGAATGCTCTGAACTGACAAAATCTCCAAGTCAGTCTTAAACGTCTTTGAGGCTACAGTCCGAAGGAGTCTCCACGCTGAGAGCGCCTGGTAAACCTTGCAGTCAACCTCAGGCTCGATGCCCATTGAAAGAATCAAACAATAGAAAGAGCGAAAGGTCTAAAGGTCTGAAAAAATAGAAAACAAACAAAAGAGGAAAAAATGTGGATAAGAAAGGAAAGAAGGACAATGAAAAAGAGAAAAAAGGCAAGTGGCCGTCTCCTCAGCCCTGTGCTCCATGGCTACATTTCCGCATTTCATGAAAGACTTCCAACGCCTCTGCACTCGAAAGGTAATAGAAAAGAAATCAACAATCATGCTTCCCTTCCTGTCCGCCTTGGTATGCCAAATCACTACACGGCGATGTATCTGCATAGTGCGCCTTTTGAGGGGAGCCGTTGTTGATACAACACTGCATGAGGCTCATCCACACCTGCCAAACTCTTTGCATGTCTCCTGTCTCCTTTGCAATCAAATTGCACCTCCTGCAAGAGCCTCATCAGTTTCCTTTTATATAGACCCCACACTCAAAAATGTCTCGAAAAGGCACACTGGCCTGCTGGTTCGGCGCAAATTTTCCAATTTTTGGCAACTTGTCCACCATCTCAAACGCCTGAAGCAAGAAGGAACTTTGCATACTTTTGCTGCATGACTGAAATTGTCCACTGCATGGTAGAACCCACAGAAAGGATGAAAACATTTAATATCAGTACTAGTAAGGCGTAAGCTTTGTCCAGCTGCTTTGCCCGCGCGCATGTCTTCACCAGAATTCCAAGGGTGAAGTTCGTCCTGCAAAACTGTCATCACGTGAACTTGTTCCCCTCACTTTGCAAAAATTCGCTGCCTTGCCAATCGAAACACGCCACCAAACTCCTCCAATTTTTGGATTCTGTAGCCACAATCCAAGAAAGTTAACGGCCCCGAAAAAACAGAGACAACAAATTGCAGCAAAGGTTCGGGGCAATTTTGTGAGTCAGCATTTCCTCAGGTCTGGAGAGGCAAAGTGAATCAAGCAGCAACAACATCAAATCCTCCAGCTACACACTGCTCGATGAACCTCCATCAAAAAAACTGTTCGCAGTTTCCGCAAAACTTTTGCAACACGCAAACTGTCCAAGAAACTTCCAAGAGCTGATCCACCAACTCCACCCTGGAGTGCTTAGAACATGCATCCATACAGGTGTTGTACACCACCGCATCGTGTTCCACGTTGCAGTCCTGGCAACGGATAACCATCAACATAATATATCTTCCAACAATGTCAAAGCGGTGGAAGGACTATTCATTGATCTGCCAACCCATGGCGTTCAAAGGGCCCGACAACTCATTTGCGCGCACACTGCAAGAACCGCGTCCGTGCACACACACTTGTCTCATCAGCGCACACATCGCTCTAGAATGCCTCATCTGCGACACATGGTCTGTCAGGCATGAGGGGGTGCGGGGTGGGGATGAAAGAATGACTAGTACGTACAGCGTAGGGGTGCAGGCAGCTAGTGCCTTTTGTAACGGCAATAATCCTCCTCTCTTGAGCCTTGAGGAACACGACAACACCAAGTTGCACCTGTGACAAAAAAGTGACAACTGTAGCGACCCGCACGCATGTCAGCAGGCACAATTCATAGTCATTTCCGTCACGGGGCGCATTGATGCTATCTTCTCCTTTCGGGGCAAAGTTAAAGTCCAGCAGATCTTCAAACTGTCACAAGTACCAAGGTGCCATACACTTACGAGTCCAGTGTGTTACACACTATAAACAAGCAGTCTCTGAGCTTCCTATTAGAGGTACAGGCAGGGAGCTGTAGCTTGCTCACCCTTATAACAAAACAGTTGACACTCGGCTGACTGCGCATTCAGCTGGTTAAGATACCATGTATCGGCGCTCGGTTGGTCTGTGAGAGCAAGACCATACGATGACTTAGCAGCTTTCACACAAAGACCTAAAGCCGGATAAACGACCACGCATCACAAAAAAACTCACACGGTTCAAGTCCGCACTTACTGCATGGAATTAAAATACTTTGCACAGCACAAGGAGCAGCAGGCTCGAGTACAGGCTTCAGGGTAGTGGCCTCGCCGCAAAAACAAAACTAGTCAGGTCTAAATATGGACGCATGTCAAAAGGACTCTCTTCCAAAAACAAAAACACGCAAACACACGCCGTTCAGAGTCAGAGAGAGAGAGAGACTGGCAGGTGACTGCACACGACGAATCAACTGCACTACACTCGCAATGGATCTTCATAATCATCTTCCTGGATGGAAAACTCATTAGAGGAAGATCGATCGTTGGCAGCTCTGCGAATGAAATGAGTCTTCAAACCATCTTCTTCGAAAAGAAGGAAGTACACTATAGATAAGTTTCAATTCAACAACTCTACACGGCAAAGGGTCTTCATGATCATCTTCTGGGAGAAGAAGTACGTCGGAGGAAGAACCCAATCTTTGAGTCAGTGATCTCAACTCAAAAACTATGTTCACTTGACTCAGCCAAGTTAAAAAGTTCGTGCACGAAACCCTCACTCAAAACAGCGCTGAGAGCTACCAGCACCAGATGCTACGGTATCGGGTATACCGGTTTTCTTTTTCTGGCGCATTGCGTCTATTTAGTGGGTTTGTTGATTTTTGGTGTTCTATGGCAATGTTGTTCAAAAGTTTTGACCCGGGGCAATTTTTGGGCGGCCATTCTTACTGTGATGTTCTTTGCCTTTGGTTATATCTGTGTTTTTGGCGTTTTTTTGATTTGGATGCATTCTAACCTTTTTTGCGCAACGCCATTCTATCTCAGTATGGCAAAAATCGCAGTTCCCTGGCCCGCATTCTCCAAGGTAAAAATTTTACGAAAATGGTTTTTTGGCTGGCATTCTAAGTCCCAGCACTCTAAGTATCGCAAAAATATAGAGGCCTGAGAAAGAATGACGGTCAATTTTCCTGCCCGGGTCCCTTATTGCTCACCACTCTTGGAACACTTGTCCCCAGTCTAAGTTTCAGTCCACGGGTATACTCTATACTCCTATGCGCCAAGCCGTAGCATTATAGAACTCATCCTCATACAACATATGACCCCATTCAAGAACAGTATAGTCACTATAGTCAAACAGTATAATCGCCAAGGTTCGAGACCAGGCCTGTCCACCTTCGTCCAGAATGATTACCAGGTTCTTGGGACAACGGATAACGCAAATGGGGAAGATGGTATCCCAGTTCCACTGTGTGCGCAACTCTATCATCGTTGATACGGGTCATACTCCTTTTCTTCATAACATCGAGGAGGAGGCACCTGATTCAACTGCGCGCCTTTCTCCTTCTTAGAAGAAGAGGAGCCAGAACCTTTTGCTTCCTTCTTATACGTGACGGTAAGTCCGAAGCATCATCCACATCCATCTCTCTTGGCAGAAAGTTGTCCTTTTCGGTCACACTTGGAAAGGCTCCTGCGCTCTCATCAAAGTCTTCCATCCTAACATCAACTGCTCCTCTGGCCAGACACCAGCCACGATTGAGCTGCGCTCTGGATTGCGGCAACCCTTTTGACATCAAGAGGAGCCTTGCCTCGGAACAAAACGACGCTTGGCCCTTCCAGTTGCAACATCCTCAAGGATGTTCTGCTGTTCTGTGTCCTGTGGAGGCATTGCTTCATAGAAGTCTTTGGTGCGACTATTGACTATTGAAAACCTCGGTCATTTTCGGAAAACGGTTGACGAGACGCCACATCCTTGATGAGCTTATGCTAGAATGGCAAGTCATCTGCATTGGAGTCAAGCACTGTTGAAGAATCTATACAATTGGCAACATTGAATATATTGGTTGCAGGTTGTTCTTATTTCATAGGATCTTCAATCTTGATGATCTTCCTTATCACCTTACGGCCATAGAGGACGTTGTTCAACAACTGCTGGGTTTGCCAGCCACCCTTGTCTGGCTAATTGCACTTAAGAAAGTAGACGAACATTGCCTCTCAAATTCGCATTCTTCATGATGAGCTCATACAGAGGATCTCAAACCTTTGACTCAACATATTCCTGTAACTTCAAAGTCGCACGTTGAATTTAAATCACGGCGCAACTTGTTCCATCTTCGGAGAGAAACGAAAGTTCTCAATTACACCACCATAGACCCCAAACAAGTACACAACAAAGAATCATTCCCAAGTCCACTTTTCCCGAATTAGTTTACTGTTAGGGGTTCACAAGTCTTTCTTAAGATGTGTCCGCCCTTTGCGTCGCTGCTGGTGTCCACCCTTTTCCGCTGGCCATGTAGCATTTCTATTCATTCGTCTCCCAGGTCTGTAACTGGTGTCCGCCCGTTTGCGCTGGCCACGTAGCATTTCTATTCATTTGTCTCCCAGGCCTGTCGCTGCTGGTGTCCGCCCTTTTCCGCTGGCAATGCAACATTTCTATTCATTTGTCTCCCAGGTCTGTCTTCATTTCTCTCCCACGTCTGTCGCTGCTGGTGTCCGCCTTTTCCGCTGGCGATGCAACATTTCTATTCATTTGTCTCCCAGGTCGTGGTGTCTGCCCTTTTCCGCTGGCGATGCAACATTTCTATTCACTTGTCTCCCAGGTCTGTCACTCGTGGTGTCCGCCCTTTTCTGCTGGCCATGTAGCGTTTCTATTCATTTGTCTCCCAGGTCTGTCACTTTTCCGTTGGCCGTGCAGCATTTTTTCTGCATTTGTCTCCAAGTCTGTCGCTGCTGGCGTCCGCCCTTTCCGTTGGCCATGTAGCATTTCTATTCATTTGTCTCCCAGGTCTGTCACTGGTGGTGTCCGCCCTTTTCC